GAAAAGAAAACATTTTGTCGAGCTTATTTATGATTTATATATGACCAACAGGGGAATGAATAACAGCAACATACAACTGACAAAATATTCAGTTTCAGGTCTGTTTTATTCATGAATCTTTGAAAACACTGATGTTCAAAAATATTCATACCCTTGGTTTTCAGAGTTCAGTGTCTTTCTTCAGTAGTCGATAGCATATCCTTTGTTCCTTATTACTGCTTCTAGTCGGTTCCGGTAGGTGCTCACAAGCTTGCCACACGTTTCCTGTGGGATTTTGGCCCATACTTCCCTGGCGAAAGCCTCCAGCTGGGTCAGGCTAGTCGGTTTCCTGGCCGTCACTCGGGTCTTCAAGTCCCGCAATAGATTCTCCATGGGATTCAGATCAGGACTCTGACTAGGCCACTCGAGGGCGCTGATATCATTGTCCTCGAACCATTCCTTGACTACTTTAGCCGTGTGTTTGGGATCATTGTCTTGCTGGAACTTCCAGTTGTTGCCGAGTTCCAGCTTCTCTGCAGATTCCTTCAGGTTTTCGTCCAGAATTCGGATATAGTCCTCCTTTCTCATGGTGCCCTGGATCCTGACGAGGTTTCCTGTGCCGCGGGAAGAGAAGCATCCCCACAACATCATGTTTCCGCCACCGTGCTTGACGGTTGGCACCGTGTTCTTGGGATTGTAGGCCTCTCCTTTACTCCTTCAAACATATGCAGCATCCATGTGCCCAAACAACTCCAACTTCGTCTCATCAGAACATAGGATGTTTGCCCAGAAGTTGGAATCTTGCTGCATATTGCCTCTAGCAAAGGCCAGGCGAGCCTTGCTAGAGGCAATATGCAGCAAGATTCCAACTTCTGGGCAAACATCCTATGTTCTGATGAGACGAAGTTGGAGTTGTTTGGGCACATGGATGCTGCATATGTTTGAAGGAGTAAAGGAGAGGCCTACAATCCCAAGAACACGGTGCCAACCGTCAAGCACGGTGGCGGAAACATGATGTTGTGGGGATGCTTCTCTTCCCGCGGCACAGGAAACCTCGTCAGGATCCGGGGCACCATGAGAAAGGAGGACTATATCCGAATTCTGGACGAAAACCTGAAGGAATCTGCAGAGAAGCTGGAACTCGGCAACAACTGGAAGTTCCAGCAAGACAATGATCCCAAACACACGGCTAAAGTAGTCAAGGAATGGTTCGAGGACAATGATATCAGCGCCCTCGAGTGGCCTAGTCAGAGTCCTGATCTGAATCCCATGGAGAATCTATTGCGGGACTTGAAGACCCGAGTGACGGCCAGGAAACCGACTAGCCTGACCCAGCTGGAGGCTTTCGCCAGGGAAGTATGGGCCAAAATCCCACAGGAAACGTGTGGCAAGCTTGTGAGCACCTACCGGAACCGACTAGAAGCAGTAATAAGGAACAAAGGATATGCTATCGACTACTGAAGAAAGACACTGAACTCTGAAAACCAAGGGTATGAATATTTTTGAACATGAGTGTTTTCAAAGATTCGTGAATAAAACAGACCTGAAACTGAATATTTTGTCAGTTGTATGTTGCTGTTATTCATTCCCCTGTTGGTCATATATAAATCATAAATAAGCTCGACAAAATGTTTTCTTTTCATCAAAAAAGCAAAATATGTCGTAAATTAACAAGGGTATGAATAATTTTGAGGACGACTGTATATGTGTTATGTTACCCATGAACTGTGCATTTTCAGGTAAACCGAGCAATATTGGAATGGTGAGACTGCCACACAGCTAAAATACAACATGACATCATTCAAATCAAGGTGAGATATTGTAGCAAGGTTTATTGTAAACATAGGCTGTGACCTTCTAGAAATTGAACCTTTGGGAGCTTCTAAATCTCAAAACCTTAATCCTCACACTTTTAGGGAAGGGGGGGGGTCAAACAGACCCCTCTTTTTGCGAATTACTCGCGCAAACAGTGGCCAATTACGACAATTCCTTCATTACCTCGAGTTGGCCAAGTTTACACCTACCCTGCAAATTGCATGCCGTGGCCCAAATGACCTTTGACCTCTGGCCTGTTTCTAGAGACGTATATTTGGCCGGAATCGCGATTGGGCGTATGCCGGCTCACATTATCCGCGTGTTTGCAGTTTTTTTTGTGGTTTCATGTGAAATGATGTTGGCCGGATGCATTATGGCGGGTTTTGAAGGTCACCTGAACGTCAAGTTAAGTTATCGACCTTTGATGACCTTGTTTCACTTCTGAGAGTTTCATTTGTTTCTAGGCCAGTGTGTGTAGCTATTTTCGAATTTAGAAACAATTTGAACATTTACGAAGTGTTGTGTTGCCTCTTCACTGTGGCCTCGTGAGAGGCGGGCGGCCGAAAACAATCACCGGAACTGCCGGACATGTATTCTGGCCGCCGCACAACAAGATGCCAAAAACCCACGTGACCAACGCCTACGCCGCCATTACCGGAAGACCACCCCGGACTTAGTAGTGGGCCGATGCCGTGACTAAACACAAGACGAGAGGGCGGTGAGCATTCTTACAATTATAGTGCCTATCAAATAAGAAACTAAGCACGACTACAACGCGTGGGCATGAAACGTCTACATTTTACAAATCACATTGGCGCCGGTTCGGAATTTGCAATCAGCTGACACGACTTGGGTCTTCCCTAAAAATAACAAAGCAACCTCGCACAATTCTGGCGCAGCTGATACGAACACTGAACAGCGCAACTAAATTCACGACACAACACCACCCCTCTCTTTGAGGGAAAACACACCCTATGAAAACACCCAGGCACAGGTACGGTGCTGAGCTAAACTGTACACGCGCAAACTCGCCTAACCTACGGCGAGAAACGCTTCCGCGGCCTACGCACCCTACGGCTGCGGCGCGGGGCCGCATGCTCGTCAGGGGCGGCACCGACTGGCGCCGCTGGGACAGGACTGGTACCCCTGGGCGGCTCGGGACACACATCATCGGTAGGAGCGGGGTCCACGGTCACAGGGGCTGGGTCAGTAGGCTCGGGCTCGCCCCCGACTGGGTAAAAGGTCAACGGCACCTCGCGATCAGCTTCCCCCGGGCGGCCCGGTACCAGGCGCCTGGCATGCACCCGCTCACCTGTGGCCAGCCTGTAGCTGACCGGACCGGTCCTGCGGCTCACCTGCACAGAGCGCTGCCCCTCGACCCGGCCCGTCCCGGGCTTCCGTACTCGCACCCAGTCGCCAGCTTCCCATCGCGGGGCGGCCGTGGCGGTGCGGTCATACCGGGCCCTGTAGGTCTCCTGGTACGACTGGTGATGCTGCCGGACAGCTCGATCCTCGGCAGCACGGCCGGACGGGGTCACATCGGACGGGGTCACATCGAGAATCGTCCGCGCCTCCCGCCCCCTCATCAAAACAAAGGGCGACACTCCGGTCGCCGGGTGGACCGTGACCCGGTACTCACCCAGGAACTTTCTGACAAACGTCGAGCGCGGCTCCCTCGCCAGGCGAGCCGACTGGATGGCTTCCTTAACCGTCCGGTTCAGCCGCTCGACCATGCCGTTGGTCTGCGGCGAATAGGGCGAACTAAACGTCTGTTTGACGCCCATGCGACCCAAAAACTCGGCGAGTCGGCCCGACCGAAACGCAGGGCCGTTATCTGACAGTAGCTCCAGCGGCACACCTTCGCGAGCGAACACTGTCTCCAGGAACTGGCAGATACTGTCTGCCGTCGCGTCCTGGCAGAGCGCGACCTCCGGCCACCGGCTGTACATATCGACGAGCACAATGCCGTAGCGCTCAGACGACGGACCTCTCATGGGACCGATCACGTCCACCATGAGGCGCTGCCACGGTCCATCTGGGAGTGGGATGGGCTGGAGGGGCGGCCTCTCCCTCCGCACGTGCCCATCGTGCTGAGAGCAGACCTCACAGCTCTTCAGCAGGTCACGCACCTGCCGGTCCAGGCGCGGCCACCAGAAACGCTCACGAAGCCGCTGTTTTGTGCGGACCACCCCCTGGTGGCCCGCGTGCGCGTTAGTCAGAACGCGCTCGCGCAGCGCCGCTGGCACCACCAGCCGGTCACCGCGGAGCAGCAGCTGGCCGTGTACGGACAGCTCGTCCCGTACCTGAAAGAAACCAGCTGCTCGGGGGTCAACGTCCCTCCGGCGGGGCCACTGCCCGGACACGTACCCACGGACGACGCTGAGACACTCGTCGGCCGCCGAGGCGTCACTGAGCTCCTCCTCAGAGATGGCTGCGGCCACCGTCAGAGCTGCAATCTGGAGATCGTCATCATCCGGCCACCAGGTCTCGGCTACCGGCAGCCGTGACAGGCCGTCGGCCACGGTGTTCCGCTCCGAGCGGACGTACTCAACGTCGAAAGAAAACTCGAGCAGGCGGGCCTCCCACCGCGCGACACGCCGCCCGACGCGCGTGGAACCCTTGGGACCGAAAATGGTACACAGAGCCTGATGATCCGTGCGCAGAGTGAATTTCCGCCCCCAGAGATAGTGGCGAAACTTCTCACAGGCCCACACCACGGCCAGCGCCTCCTTCTCCACAGTGGAGTAGTTACGCTCGGCCGGAGAGAACGACTTAGACGCGTACGCGATGACCCTGGGCGACCCCGAGGCGTCGATCTGCGTCACACACGCGCCTGCTCCGACGTCGCTGGCGTCGGTCGTCAGCACCGTGGTGAGCGCGGGGTCGAACATACCCAGCGCCGGTGACTGACGGATGGCGTCCTTGACGCGCTGGACGGCGCTGGACAGCGCCGGCGACCACTCGAACTTGTCAGCGCGCAGCGCAGCTCGCAGCGGCTCGACCAGGTCCGAGTACCGCGGCATGAAACGGGCGTGGTAGCCCGTGGCTCCCAGGAAGGCGCGGAGGCCCTTCTCGTCCTGTGGCTCTGGAGCCTCCAGCAGCGGACTGATCCGCCCTGGGTCGATCTGCACACCGGCCGCTGAGATCCTGTAACCGAGGAAATCAATGTCACGGCAGCCGGTGGCACTCCTGGACCAGTTCACTTTCACACGGTGGTCCTCCAACCGCCGCAGCACCTGCTTCAGGCGAGCGTCATGCTCCGCCTGGGACGGTGCGTGGATGATGATGTCGTCGAGGTACACCTCCACCCCGGGGATGCCCTCCAGCATCGACGTCATCACCCTCTGAAAACAAGGGCCGGCACTCGCCAGACCAAAGTTTACACGGCGGAACCGGTACAAACCCTTGTGGCTGACAAACGTGGTCAGGTTCTGGCTGTCGGGATGCAGCTCCAGCTGGTGGTACGCGTCCTTCAGGTCCAGCCTGGAGAACATCAGCGAACCACGGAGCCGATCGAGAACGTCCTCAATCCTCGGGAGAGGATGACCATCCGTGATGACCGCCTGGTTCACCCTCCTCATGTCAACGCAGAGGCGGATGGCACCGTCCCGTTTCCTGCCAACGACCAGTGGTGAGATCCAGAGAGACGCGCTCACCTTCTCAATCACACCCTGGGCCTCCAGCTCATCAATCCGGGCACTCACTGCGTCCAGTACAGCCAAAGGCAGGCGGCGCAGTGGCTGGCGCACTGGTGGTACCCCTGGGTCAACTGTCACTCGGTGCTGGTACCCAAGGATAGCGGGTTGGGCCCCCGGAGAGGCTGGTAGCTCGTCAGGTGGGCTGGTGGGTTGGGCAGGCTCAGGAGAGGACACACAGGTGGGGTTGGTGGACACACTGCACACACGGTTGCCCACAATACAAACATCAAACACTTCCATCAGGTCAAGGCCCATCAGAGCGCGTCCTGACGGCACAACATACACTTTGACCAACTCTGTTTTCCCCCGGCATGACACATGAACACTTTTCACCCCCAGCACATTTAGCACGCTCCCCCCGTAGGCACAAAGGCTCTCCTCGGCTGCCCCGAGATCACCCTGCACAGAGTCCCTCGGCAGGATGGAAACTGGAGACCCTGAGTCCACAGTGAAAGTTACCTTGAGCCCCTCTACCTCAGCATCAAGGGTCAGCGGCACGGCACTAGCCCCAACAGCTAGCACCTGGACACTAGAAACCACACTAGCACCGCAGTGCTGGGCAAAGTGGTTGGTCTTACCGCACTTGGAGCACTTCCTACCGAACGCTGGGCAGCTGCGGTCACCTCTGCGATGTCCAGGGCGCCCGCAGCCCCAGCACTCAGGGCCTGCTGTCTGCTGCTGTGGTTGCTGCCGTCTCGGCTGCTGCTGCCTCCCCTGCGGAAGCTGCTGCCGTCCTTCCTGCTGCTGGGCTGGGACCGGGCCGGAGCGTCTGCGTCTGGACCCCCCTCGCTGAAACTTCTGTGGCTGCAGGGCCTGGACAGGCACAGGCACGGCTGGTCCCTCGATCACCCTTGCTTCTCGTTCAGCAGACTCCAAGGTGTCGGCCAGAGTCAGGGTCTTCTCCAGAGTCAGACCTGACCCTTCCATGAGAAGCCGCTGCCTCAGCTTAGAGCTCACGGTTTTCTCAATCACCTGGTCCCTGATAAACTCGTCCATCTGGGCACCGTACTCACACGTGCTGGCCAACTGGCGCAGCACGGAGACCCACTGGCTGGTGGTCTCACCTGGTTGCTGCCCCCGGCTGCGAAAGCGGTAGCGCTCAACACAAGCATTCTGTTTGGGAGCGAAATGGGCCTCGAGGCGGCGCAGGCACCATTGGAAGTCGTCCTCGCTTTCCAGCTTCTCCATGGGTGGCAGATTCTCAAACACCCGCTGCCCCTCCGTCCCTAGACAAGTCAGGAGGACAGCTTGGCGACGTGCGGGAGGGAAAGCGTCCCCTCCGACCGCACACAAAAAGTTCTCAAACATCCTGACCCACCGAGGCCAGGGAATCGCCGGCTCAGCTCCAGCGGTGGGCAAAAACGGCGCGGGAGCCGCCGCGAAATCCATGGTGAAAAATCACTGTTCGAAGTCCTCAGTCGCCACTTTGTTGTGTTGCCTCTTCACTGTGGCCTCGTGAGAGGCGGGCGGCCGAAAACAATCACCGAAACTGCCGGACATGTATTCTGGCCGCCGCACAACAAGATGCCAAAAACCCACGTGACCAACGCCTACGCCGCCATTACCGGAAGACCACCCCGGACTTAGTAGTGGGCCGATGCCGTGACTAAACACAAGACGAGAGGGCGGTGAGCATTCTTACAATTATAGTGCCTATCAAATAAGAAACTAAGCACGACTACAACGCGTGGGCATGAAACGTCTACATTTTACAAATCACATTGGCGCCGGTTCGGAATTTGCAATCAGCTGACACGACTTGGGTCTTCCCTAAAAATAACAAAGCAACCTCGCACAATTCTGGCGCAGCTGATACGAACACTGAACAGCGCAACTAAATTCACGACACAACACGAAGTAGTTTTGTTTTTTTCGTAACATGTTGCGAAGCTCTCAGTGGTGGTTGACAGCTGACAGCTGTTACTATGAATACCCAGAAGGGCGCCTACTGGTTGATCTGACCTAAACCGACCTGGCCTTAATACATGAAGATGTTATATGTGATCAAAACTACATAATATAAAGTTCCCTGAACCAAAAAAAAAAAAAATCAGCCTCACTTTACCAAGTTCTGATAGATCCCAATTTTCACGTAATTTGGGTCATTGGCCTGACCTGAAAGGTCAGCTGTAGGATGGGTTTCCTCTCGTCACGGGCAACATGCTAGTTTGAACTTGGGTAGCATGCAATAAAATGCATGCTAGTTTGATGCCCCTTTGATTTTGGCATTTTAACATTAGCCCTATGGGCGTTCCATGGAAAGAATAGGACCAAAAGTCGGCAGTAGCCCCCCTCCCCCCCCTCTTAACCCGCGCCCTGATGGGATCTGCCGAGCAACGCGCCCTGATGGGGGAACGGGTCATTTTGCCCCCCCCCCTCCCCCTAAGATCTCGAGAACCACACAACATAGCGACAAGCAGCAAACGGTGTTGGATAGCACCAACAGGGAACTACCTTGTGACCCAATTTCATTGACCTCGGTCTAACCGATGACGTCACAGGTCAGGTCAAATGTCAGTTTTTCACCGTTTACAGGCATTTCAAGAAATGCGTTGTAAAATCGAGTAAAATGCATGTCATTGAAAATCATCGATGATGATTGCCCATAAAACACATATTTTGCTATTTGAGGTCACTGATACCAGGTCAGGTCACAGAGGTCAGATAACTGAGGGTCAACATATGAAAAAAATCATGTGCGTGTTTTATGGTCCGTTTTATATGACAAATGCGATTATGTGGGTCATGCAGCCTTTGGGGCCAGTTAAGGTTATGTTCTGGTGAAGGTCAGGTCAAGGTCAGGTCAAAAAGGTCAAATTTCAAATTTGATATTTTTTGCATAAAATGGGTGACGATCGATTCGATGCAGCTCGTCACGTGGAGTCTAATAGTGGTCTTTGTTTTGCGCTACCTGGTCTAGAATTGCTAGAATTGAACAGTTTTTTTTCGCTATAACTTGCCAAAAAAGGAGGTATCATCTAAAATTTGTTGTGTAGATAGAAGATGGTAGGGACTATCATTCATGTTCCGTTTTTTTTTTTCAAAATTCGAAAAACTTTGGGATTTTTTTTTGCTACTTATTAAAAAAGTCAATTTTTTTTTTTTGGGGGGGGGGGGGGGGTCAAAATCGCAAAGTTTAGAAAATACGAGATAGCAGTTTTGTAGCGCCGTCATTTCTCTACACGACCATATAAAGAACTTTGAAATTGCCTGTTAACTGTAGCTTTTGTCAGCGTTTCAAAACTTCATGTTTTTTGCCCATCTTTGCTCGAACATGACCTCAGTTTGACCTCAATAACTCCTGACCTAAGATGACCTATGACTTGAAATTTTGTACGGAGGTGTCAAATTGATGTTTCAAAAGGGTACTGAAAATTTGGCGGCGCTGCGCGCCGCCGTTTTTTCGCGATTCAAGAAAAACCACAGGAGGGGCTGCCCCCCCCCATCAGGGCGCAGATTGATTGAAAGTGTTCCGCCCTCACTGACGGACCCACCCCCCACCCCCACCCCACCCTTATATGTTGGCGGCTGTCAAAACACCGATACGGGCGAGGTTTAAAGAGAGTGTTAACTAATAACTTAAAGTATTCAAGCTAGGACAAAACTAATAACATCATCGCGATCCCCTTGTCAATTGGCATCGAAACAGATACAGGGTGTAACGAAATTATCCGGACATCTATTTTTCGCCATATATGCTCGCACCACGGCTAGAACGATGTTAGGGCGACTCCGACTCCGACTCCGGCTTCAAAAATCTACTCCGGATGGTTCTTTTAAAATTCATATCATGATACTGAATTTCATAATGGAGATGTTATTATCTTGCTCGAAACGATCCCTTGTGCGTTCTAAGGCTTTGCGTTGCAAACTTGCATTAAAGGGACCATCCCACCTTAACATTAGTTTTGAGTTGAGATAGCCAAGTTTGCGGCCAGGCTCAGAAACCACCATTTATCCTGGTCGCAACCCCCGCAGCTTTATGGTGTTCAAGAAATTTCTTCCCTTTACTTGCAGGGTGGGACCAGCTTAGTCCCTATCTCTTAACCATTAGCGGTTTTTTGATGACGTCAGCAGTCATTTCAACGCCCGCCATTCCTTGAACCCGAGTTTTGCTGACCTTGAGCTCCCTTTCTTATCAACGTGAAATCCGTCGTCGGCGATGAGAAAGCCTATTGCTTTTCATTTTAATTTGAATATTAGAAGATACCCACCACTGGAACTTGGACTGATATTATACCAAGGCCGAAGATGATCAAGCTGCCTGCTATATCTGGAGCTTGGTGTTCAACTTCAACATGGAATAAAAAACAAAATATCAAAGCAAACTGGATATGGTACTGCAAGTTAAAGTCCAAAGAAATTTGAAGAGCTGACAATTGACATTAATTCTTTTCCCGCAAGGTTTCCATAGGAGATCACACCATGAAGAAATATTTTTGATGTTAACAGTTGAAAGGGGATTGATCTTCCAGTTTTGACGAAAGACGCTGCTGACTGTCTTTGGAAAAGGATGTCGGCATGAGGTGCAATTGTGCTTGTGAAGTGGTTATAACTGGACTTTTCACAGTATTAAATTAAATGTGCCATTGCAGCCAAGTGTGTTATCATGTAAGGTAAAATCAAAACTACAATGTTGGTTTTACGAGCATTGAGAAGGCTGGTAGGTAACACCTGCCTGTGCTCGTAAATCATGCTGCCAGAGTATTCTAAATTAATTTTATCATACAATTTTGTTGTCCAGAATGGTTGCACTATTGTTTGGTATCATATTATTCCATGTAAATATGGTAGTGTAAAGTCCGACCAACATGTTACCAGATTTGAAGCTGTTACGTTACCTAAGTACCTGTTTTTTACTGGCGTGGTGAATGTCACCTGGATTTTGTTTTGAGGTGCAGACCTAGTAACTCTGACTACATGGGTTTGAAGCTATTATCTATTCTGTTTTTACTGGCCTGGTGAATGGCGACTGATGTTGTCCGTGGATGGCACTGAAACAAATTTTGAGTGTTTTGTGCAGTGTTTTAATACAATGCTGAGGGCTGAAAGTTGTCTTGTTTAGAGTGGTGAAAGTTCAGGATATGCCAGCCACCATGGTGGGTCAGAGTTAAATGTGTTGCAGTCAGTTCGGCTTCGGCAAGCACACGGATGGGCATACGCATCAAGACCTGCTCTGCCATACTTTCAGCCAATTTTACCTAGGTAAGTCTTTTCTTTTTTCTGCCAAAAGCTATGACATTGTGAATTTCAGCACTGTGGCCTGTGTGTAGCTTTCAGGAAAGCAATTCTAAATAAAGCTCTGATAAAGTGCAAAATCAGCAATGCAGCCCTCTATTACATTTTCTACAACATCTTACTTGTTCCTTGCATGGAGAGAAAAATGCAATGTTATGAATTCGTTTATTCACATAATTTGACAAGCATGCAGTTACCTGCTACTATCACTGCACAAAACAGAGCAGAAAACATGAGTTGATCAAACACAAGACATAACAGAAGTTTACAACATAGGGCTGCCGAACCTGCTTCCTCCCACCACAGTTGATGCCATTTCCTAGCCTGGCTTGATGTGAGCACTGAATAGCTGCTTTGTCTAATTACAGCTCACTACCATTCAACTTAAACTACTCTCTTTAAAGTAAGAGTGAGAGCGTTCAGTGTTCATAGCAGCTCGACAGACGACAGACAACAAACATCTTGACAAACCAACCAGTATTTGATTTGGCTAATGATTTATGTGCTTGTTGTATCATGGCCAAACTACTTTAACAGCAATAATCCCTGTTTCATCTTGATCTTGCTTTTATTTCCATTTGAACTCAGATCTTGAAACAATCATCTGAAGTGATATCAGATACTGGCTTCTGTTTCTCTTGAAAGCAAGTTAAAACAACAATGATAAACTAAGGCAGGAGATGTGAGTTGTGGCAGTAGATTTTTGATTCAACATATGTCAACCTTATATTGCTTGAGACCTCTGTGACAGACAAACAAATATTTATAGTTTTTTGATAGTTTGGATTCTTGGCTTGATTTAGCAGATCAGCTGTGAACCTTGACTTTGAAATCACATAAATGTTATGGTACCCGAACGAATCCTCGCATGACATTTCTTCGTAGCACAATTTTTCGTCCGCATTTCTTCGTCTACAAATCTTCGTCGGTGCATTTATTTGTCCCTCAATGCTTACTCTTGCATATATTTGCGTTGAAGAAGAAATGCGAGCCGATTTTCATATACCCTGGTGCGAGACAAAGTAATGCGATAGGTACGAATAAATGCCCTGACGAAGATTTGCAGACGAAGAATTGCGATACGAAGAAATGCCATAAGAATTGTCCTGGAATCCTTTATTGGCCATCATATATTGACCTTGATAAGATAAACGCATCATTCGCGCAATATTTGTCGCACTTTGATACCGAACTATTGCTTCCAAATGCCGACGTAAAGAAAACCTTTATGTGACGTCATAGAAACAGCGGATTTCCCAAAAAGTAAACAAAAATAAAAGTCATATCTCGAAAACGGGTGAATATTTTCCGGTAAAATTTGGTAGATGTTCATTTTCGCTCTTTGTGATTCACGCTACATCACTTTTATGCCAATTCATTAACTTTTTTGAAGGTGGGAGGGTCCCTTTAAAATAACTTGCAGAATTAGGTAAAAGGCAGATTCTGGGAATGCACTGTCGTACTGCTTCTTTCGTTGAAAACGTTCGTCAACAGCAAAATGTTTTTTCGACAAAATGTAATTTCGAGCGCAGTATCGTCAATCAAGCAAGTGCAGTGCATGACGTTGAGCCATGCAGCGTTAACTCCGACTCCGGAGTCGGTGTAGGTAAGATTTTGGCGACTCCGACTCCGACTCAGGGCAGTACTTTCGACTCCGACCGACTCAAACTCCGACTCCGACACCGACGACGAGAAGGGACGAGAAGGTGGATAAACGCTCCCGGTCGTTGCGCGGGTTAAGACAATATTTATTGACATTTTGAAGAAAAAAGCCCATGGTGTGCGGTCCTGTCATACATGTAACATATTGCTGGATTCTTTTGCCAGGCTGAAAGAGCTGGATTGGATGCTGGAAAGTGATATGATATGCTTGAAATCACTTCGAAAATTTTGTTTTCAAGGTAAGTCAATGATTTGCTTTTTATCATTCGAAACTATTATTTATTTTCGAATACTCTAAATGCGCAAACCTGCATGCGCGCACGCCGCACACACATTTGCCTAGCGAAGAAGGTCATAGATTTCCATGGGCGTAGGAACCTCGCAAAAAGTAGGGGGCCAGCGAAACTTCAATATCACCTTGTGGGAGCCCCAATACCCCTATGAAGAAATTCTTTGCAATTTCGTGCTCATCTGACCTTGCTGAACCATTCCCTGCTCTTAGTTTTGTATTTAAATCAAAATAAAGATTTTCCTTTCAAAATGGCTGAAAAGTTGGGCACCATGCCCCTTTCCGACCCCCCCCCCCCCCACACACACCCCGTTTCTACGCCTATGGATTATGCGTATTGTCATTGATTTATTCGTAAACAAATTATATCATGAAGTATATATTAGAGTTCAGTGCATGAAGCACACATGAAAGAGTGGAGGTCTCGTGAGTTATTTATGAAGCTCCTATTACTGAACTTCTTTTACCAACTCATTTTCTGCATGCCAGCTATGTTCCATCTGAAAAGTTTCATCTGGTTTGTGACAGTGAAAAGAGAGTTGTTTCGTCAAGTAAACTCTGCATGAATGATTCTTCAATGACTTTGAAGTTTGAACCGTCGAAATTTGCAGGATGTACATATAATCACTATAAGTATTTGGCCGACTGACAATGTAATGTTTGCAGGTATTCCTGTGGAAAACGGTCGGCGAGCTCTGTGCTGGAAGCTGCTGCTGAACTACCTGCCACCCAGCCGGTTGGCCTGGGACGAGGCGCTGGACGGACAGCGCTGCGCCTACCGCCGCTTCGTCCGTGAGTAGCGTTGCAATGTGCTCCGCAGTCCTTTGGGGTTGCCCGGACTTGTTGGCGACCAGCTCACTGGTCACAACTTTCTCTTTGGAATACGTTTCTTGAATTTGTTCGTTGTCGTGCGATGTTTCCTGAAGTTAAGTGGATGTGCGATCATATATACCGGATACAGATGATGCTTGTTACAATCAGACCTTGTCCCCATGTTAGAAAAATTTAGACGTGTTGCGCACCTCCGTACTTGACAACTGAAAGGTGCTGAAGCATTTTGCTGGACTGATAATGCCGAAATTTCGCACAGTGTAGCTTCGGTGATCGGCCTTGAAATGGTCAACTTTTGGGTGGTTCTAACGAACTTTTTTTAACTTAGCTTGCATATTTCAATGGACGAATAGACAGATACGGTCCGGTATCTTCGAAGCAGATGCTTTGATGACACCTCAGTGTTGGTCGACAAAGCTATGGCTGCTAATTTTTTCGTCAGTATTATTTTGAACTGCATCGAATCTGTCCTTTGATCGGAGTGTGTTCGCTCACGCTGTCATATGTTCAATGTTGTGGAATGTGGCACTCTGTCGTCCGCGTCACGGGTGTCCGTCTGCAGTGGTGAGCCCTGTGAGCAGAAATCCGTGAGATCTGTGAACTGAGCCGTGTGAGCTGAGACCCGTGAGCTCTATGAACTGAGGTCTGTGAGCTGATCACGGCCGTCCGCTGGTCAGGCGAGATGGTGGTGCGGCCCGGTGGCGCCGCCGGCGGGTCCGCGGCGGCCCGTGTCGACGTCACCGAGCACGACCATCCCCTCAGCGACCAGCCCAACTCGCAGTGGCAGACCTTCTTCAAAGACAACGACGTCCTGGGACAGATCGACAAAGACGTCAGGTCGGTTCCACATCTTTCTCTCGGAGGATTTATGTTAGTTAATATTTCTTTCTGCATTCTGGACTGCGAACGGGTGCGGGAACGATCCCTTCTTCGTCGTTTTGCTCCTTTGTGAACAAACGGGCGTGTGCGCCGTTGCTGCGACCGGTGTCCAATTTTTATGTCACAGGTAAACTAATCAGACAGTGGGACATTTAGCCCAAGGCAGGTCAAAAATCCCCAAAACGGGTCCTTTTAACTATTCAGGTCCTTAGGAAAAAAAACAAAGGTGTGTAAAATGATGCACGGAGAGGTCAGTTACCTACGTCAAGCAATCCGATGTTTGAATTGGTTTCAACGTTTTTTGTTGAGATAACAATACGGCAAAATCATTTGAATGAATGAAGTATTTCTGTTATTCACCTGACGTTGCTGATTGTTTTCTGGCAGGCGGCTGTGCCCGGACATATCGTTTTTCCAGCAGCCCACCGAGTTCCCGTGCCAGGAGGTGGTGTGCGGCGACTACCACGAGCGGCTGCACGAGCGCGTGCAGCGCGTCTACCTGGACTCGGCCAGCGTGTGCCGAGTCGGCCTCGGCATGCAAACGGTCAGTGGACACGGAGACGGCGGTGGCTGCTGGCTCGAGATGGGTCCATGGGACTCATCAGTGGGAATTACGTGTCAGAAAGCGACACGCAGTGGATGATATGGACATTGCAAACGTTGATAGTCACCGTTACTGGTTTTCAAACTTTAAATATCGTCCGTTCGTCTTTATCATGCTATTTTAATTAATTAATTCAATTAGGTTTATCTAAAGGCACCTGTTTTTTTTTTTTTACACTTGACTTGTAAATACAAATTCGTTATTGTTGATCATCGATTCAAAGTGTCCGTGTTATATGATATACCTACGCTATACATTGCTTACGGGTTACTCGTGTATGCATGAAAAGAGACGTATGCAAAGACCCTCATTGAATCTTTTCAACCTTACCAATTTAGGGCAACTCATGTCTATGTAGGCTGGTAACTTGACGGAAAATTATTACATAAACTATTCTCTCAGGAAAATGGCGATAAGTCTCCAGTTCGAGTCTAGGCGGCTCCCCTCGCGTTGTGCCACACTTCAATGCTCCTCCACTGGTCCCGCCCGCAGAAGGTGGACGCCAAGCGGCGCCAGCAGGAGCACGACTATGTGGCGCTGCCCGGCGGCCAGGAGGCCCACTGGGAGGTCGTCGAGCGCATCCTCTTCATCTACGCCAAGCTCAACCCGGGACAGAGCTACGTGCAGGGCATGAACGAGATCGTCGGACCCATCTACTACACGTTTGCCTCGAACCCGGACGCACGCTGGCGAGGGTAACGGCTCTCTCTCGGCTCTGGTTATGCTTGTGTAATGTTACGCAATCTTACACTGCCAATGTTACGTTGTCACCTGTTGCCGTGTTACTGAGCTCGTCCCGTTCCGTGCAGAGCACGCGGAGGCGGACACGTTCGGCGTCTTCACCAACCTGATGTCTGAGATCCGCGACTTCTTCATAAAGACGCTGGACGACTCTCACTCTGGCATCAACTTCCGCTTGCGGCTGCTGATGGAGCGGCTGCACCACCACGACCCGCACCTGGCCGTGCGGCTCAAAGTGCAGCAGCTCTACCCGCAGTACTTCGCCTTCCGGTCAGTCAGAGCCGCTGCCTATCAGTGGGGAGGGTCTGTGAGGGTAGGGAGGCAAACAGAGACTGCTGGGTGCCCTTCATCACACATGTTCCATATTTAGGTGGTCCGCAATGGACATGCTGACTTAACTGATTGCATTCAATAGCTTTTATTTTCGCCGTTTTTTTTAAATACGTTAACGTAACCAGTGGCTCGCCATTCGACTGTATTATGCGCATCAGTCTGGATCAGGGTCCAGATTTGATGTCAACAAATCTTACTACCCACCCATGGATTGACCCTCGCCGGCCGAGGGGGGGGGGGTGCCGCCACCCCCACCCCCCTATGGTTTTTCGCGATAGCTCCGAACACGCTGGCGATGGAGAGAAGAACCTTGGCATACCTGATCTTTGATTCGAGCCGGATCTTTTGACACCAACCGCATTTTCGGGTCAGGTCAGGTCACTGACCTATGGCGTCATAACTGAACCTCTGCACGGTCTTCAGATGTCGCAATTTCGCAACGCCCTCAGTGCCAGGGGAGCTTTCAAAGGGAGATGAAACTCACAGGACCTAGTATCCATTAGAGGTCTCACAACTCTTATGTCTCGGATTTTTCCTAAAGCCCACATGAGGTCAGGTCAGTTTCGTGACCTCATTAGTCATTATTATAAGTCAATGGGGAAAAATGAAAACTGCTATTTTGGCGCTGGGAATGATCTCAAACTATAACCACACGGAATCGTGATTTCATACACTCCTTGCAAGTTTTGATGCTTAACTTTTGCATTGTTGACCTTGCCTGACGTCATTAAGGACCTCACGAGGGCCATAAGCGTTTTTCGTCAACAAATCCTGAGTTAGCGAGTCGGGAAAGCCACCAATAGACTCGGGAAAACCGGCCGAATCGAATGCTATGGCGATATGACCTCCTTCGACCAAGTTCGTGACCTGGGGGGCTCTGACCTGACCGTGACCCGAGGTCAACACCTCAAGTTGACCTCACCCAAACAAAAAGCCCAATACCATTCGACGTGCCTGAGCAAGGCGAACACGATGCTGCCAAAATCGCGGCTCTGTGGCCGTTTTTGCGAAGTTATTCACCAAAAACGGAACCGTATCTTAGGGCACTTGACCTGACCTCAGAGGTCACCGGTTGACCTAGGACTTTAAAATCGGGTGCCAATCGCTGCTTCCCGTAACGGCGCACACGCTTGTTTTTTTCCGCGACACTAGGGGGGTCGTATTAGGGGCGAAACGGCGAGGGGGGTCGTACCCGTCCCCACCCCCTCGGCCGGCGCGTATGCAGAAAGCCAATAGGTCCGGCGAGGGTTGATTATTTGAATCAGACAAATGAATCCATATATTATGTAATACATTATTGTCGCAGGTGGATGACGCTTCTCCTGTCACAAGAGTTCACGCTGCCCGATGTGATAAGAATCTGGGACTCGCTGTTCGCGGATGAAAAGCGCTTCGACTTTCTGACGGAGGTGTGCTGCGCTATGATGATGTGAGTACTGGGTGTTTTCCTCTCCAAACAATGCTCAGTGAGGCATGTGCTGCAGGCGATCAATGGCTACAGTCCTCGAGTCGGCTTGTGAATTTATATTTGAATTGGGAGATCTTTTGAGACCTTTTTGATTGTTTCGGCTCCTCCATATTTTTTGGCGGAGGAGTCGTCGTAGCTTCCCATTCTTTTTCAGTTGTTACGGTAAAAAACGGACACAATAAATCGCATTGCTTCGTTTGATTATTTTACGGGATAGTGGATGATGTTCTTTTTTATGGCATGGACAAATGTTGGTACGTTTCCATTGCCCTTCTTACTTTATGCTTTTTTTTTTTGCCGACAGACAAGTGAGGGAGCAGCTCATGTCCGGTGACTTTGCGCACAACATGAAACTGCTGCAGAACTACCCGCCGTTGGAGATTCGCACCGTCCTGGCCAAGGCTGAGTGGCTGCTGTCGCGGTGACGCCCCGTGCCCGAGGGGCAGGCCGGGGCCTGGCTGCGGCCGGCTGCTCGTCACGGAGCTGTGTATGCACCTGTTATTTTCCTGTGTATCGAGGTATCGTGGTGGCGTCTGTTACGAGCGTCGTGAAATGCTGCTGACAAGTCAGCAGAGTATACTTAATATCCTGTGCATGATATTCATCAGTCAGTTTTATATGAATACCAAGATTGTTCATACATGTATGCTCACAAGTGCTTCATATGTATTGCTATAATAATTCGGTACGCTGTGACTGCCATTTTGAGATCGATCACTGACCGTCATATTTTGCTCAAATGCGACGGAATCCGTGAATTAATCAAAGTGCAAAACTCTGGAGATGTTATCAGTTGTAATATTTTGCCGATTATAAGACATGTAATGCAACTTATCGGGCTTTGGTTGAAGCAATAGTTACTTGCGTAAAATAAACTGGTCGCGTTGGGCGCTGAATGTCGATTTTGTCGCAGCTACCGCAAACAGTTGGTGGAAGCCACGTTTCATATGACTGTGCGTGGTGAGAAATGCCACCATCTCTTTGCATTCCGCCGCCATTGATATCCACAACTGCTCCGGAGAATCTCCGTAATGACTGTTTCCCGACGAATAGTGAATCAGCTGGGCATGGCTGCACTCGAAGTGAGGCTGGCGAATCGAAAATTCTCGGTCGTCCTCAACTGTTGACTATTCAAATGCTTGGGAAGACTCGACCTCGAGGGCGGCCGATCAACCACAGGCCAGTCAATATCAGGTTACTGGCGTTATATCTGGGTTAGCTATCGCTCTGCAGTGCGCACCGGGCCCCGACTGACGCCGGTACTAGCAGAACTGGCCTGAACGGTCGACAAGCAGTGGAATGCATTAGAACCAGCCGGCTTTGGAGACGGGACAGTCCTATCGACAAGCATTTTTCATTATGCTTTTACCAGCAGGCAGCCAGGCCGGCGTATAGATGACCAACATGAGAGAAAGGATCGGTATACCTTTTCAAGGTGTGAGGTATCGCAACTTACAGAGCCGTAGCGGCTTGTGTGATCGCGAGCGAGCAGGATTACTTATCGCGTATTTCAATTTCCTAAAAGCATGACACCGGGATCGTGGCGCACATGGTCGGATGAAGTGCCTGTCTGTTTGCCAACGGACCTCAGATCAGGCGGTCGTCTTCGGCCTGTGGGATGCGCACGGTGTGATATACGGCCTTGGGTGTGACTGCTAGTTTCGGATATCCTGAGTCTTGGGCCAAGGTTCTGGGCCCAGGATCCCGCCGGGGAAAACCTATACTCGATGTTTTGAGGGCCTCAGCAGTCGGCGACTGGCATTTATACGCAGCAGCAGATTTACGAATGTGCTGTCGGCCGTCTTCAGTGCACCGTGCATCCATGCAAGCCGTATTAATACAAAAGGCACCCTTGCATTAAGAACAAAACATATTATTCATCTTGCTTTTGGATTATTTATTTTCTAATGGGATTTTGAGTGATTCCAGTAGCGGATTCGTAAATGTAAAGCTGCTACCGGTTTGACGAATGCTTCATTGTTGGTTGTGAAAAAGGCGCGCGATACAATTATTGCGCATGAGAGAACGATACCCTGAGAGAACACGCGTGTGCGTGTGTGTTTGTGTTTTGCTTTGGTTTTGCTAGGGCTTGGCTAGGGCTCTGTGTCTGTGGTCAGTGTTTCTAAGCGAGAAATTAGCAATTAAGTTTGAAAGTGCCAAGAAAAGATGCTATGAAAGGTATCATGTGATGAAGGTGCTTCCTTATTTTTCTCTGAACCAGGCTACGGTGTCGGATATATGTAATAATTGACCGGGCCAGAAACCATCATCTGGTGAGTCTGGGTAAGGTGCATTTTGAGTTGTTTAATTCAAGTTGAAAATGCAAGGTGGTGTATGGGTAAAATGCTTCTTTTAGGCTGGGACATACCTGAGGGCTGTTCACGGGCCCTGTGTGCGGGCGGACCGCACACAGCCTCGAAGCTCCGCCCACTGCGTCCCTACGTCAGCCTTCCGTCACCGCACACAGCGATCGCTGTGGCCGGTCGGGACTGGCCACAGCGGACCGTCCACCGCACGCAGCCGTGACGTCAGAACCGCCTACCCATCCCCTACCCCCACGCCTGCTGGACGCACCGCACACACCGCACGCAGCAGTGTGCGGTGCCCATGAACACCCCTCAGACTAGATAACTTCATACACTAGACATGCTGCAGCTGGATGCCTCTGGCTGAGGGACTCGCGTCAAAAACTTGTGTGTGTCAAAACTTGGTGCAAGCAATCTTGTGTCAAAATTTTGGCACAAATGCTGAAAGTTATTTGTGCGTAGTATGAACCTTTTATGTTATTTCAGTACATAGTTACCTAACATGCTAATTTATGCCACAAATGCTTTGCTTGCTTAAGGTTTGATAACAAAGAACAAGGAGCTTTTGTTATAAACAAGGTGAAAATGAATGGTTTCCGTCACAGGGTCTCATGAAAAGAGGAATGCAGTAGCAGTTAATGTGTAGATATTCTCACCTCAGTCCCACGCACAAGGGGGAAAAGCTCAAATTATTGAGCGCTCAAAATATTGAGCGTGTGACGTCAGAGGCTCCCATAGGCGTAATGCTGAGGGCTCAAAAAATTGAGCCGTTTCAGGAACACGTTTTGCAAAAGCAACTCGCAACACCTAGGGAGAAATGGCAACACCCTAGGAGATTCACTAATGATGCAAAACAGATTAGGCTTTCATATTTTTCACTGCTCAAGGTTCAATGATTGGGGGAACACCAATTTCTAGGTCGAAATCTTACAGCATACCAGGATGCCTTAAAAACAGGCCAATATTTATGTCGAAATAAAAGTTATTTTTTGTCCATTCACGTTTTTTACTAGGGTTCTGTTTGAAAGAGCATTTTTCATACTACCCAAAATGATTGCGACTCAATTTCACATCACCCATATCGGAGAATATTTTTCATTTGGCGGCGCCGTTTGTTTATTTCGTCGCGACGTCTCCGGTCGCGTGGTTGTCGTCGTCCTTGTGTTGAAGGTAAGTTTTTATCGTTTTAGTTATATTTAGATGTTAAAAGGTACACTGAAAGGTTTGAATATGCTGTGATTTTAAATTTGGAAACACGTAAACGTCAATCAATTCACGTTTTCCTCGATTTGCGTGCAGATAAGTAACTGTCGACGAAAGTGGCGCCATCCGATATGATGTTTTGAGGGAAAGAGACACAACATATTTACGTGAAAATTTTTGTTTTTTAGTGGTCTAAGTGCTTCAAAGAGGCTGTGAATGTTTTCTTCACACAATTTTTCATTAGGTATGATGCAGTAAAAGGTAGTTTCAGTCTTAACTTTCATATAATTGACATTAAAACATATGATAGTCCACTGCTATCAGTGATTGAGTACCTTGATATTTGGCATTTCTTATTAATTTGAATGTATTCTCTATCCATATGTCCTGATAGTAAGTGACAATACTCTGCCAATATGTTTCCATAGTTTTCACATTCATTTTCCAGTCCTTTACATAACATCACAATTTATAATCAACAAAACTCAACTCCTTCGTTACTTCACAACACTGACAGCATGGCAGACTGACAGTCAACTATTGTGTGTGTGAATGCTGAAACAGGATAGCCACTTTGCTGACTGGCTCATTTGAAATAAGATAAAAATGATCCTTTATATCATTTCCATCTGGAGGATCGGAGTCAACGGAAAAGGAAGGCCACTTTCAAGCCTCAAGGTCTAGGCTGCCAGATGCCAGTTGGCAGTCACCACCAAATTTATAATAGATTAATTCATTATTATACTTTGAGACCCTTAGGCCACTGGATCGGCATCACATTTTCAGTTTCAATATAGTAAAGGTTTTTATTTGTATGATGTGAAATATTTTCCTGAATCAGAATTTAATTATCCCTAGGTACCTGGTAGAGGTTTTGGATTTAATGCTCATTCTTGGTGTGCAGTCAGGATTTTTTGACAGGTCCAGATAGGGAATCCTGAGCAATTTTATAGTACAGTGGTCTCCTTATAATCACCACACATTTTATCAAAAGCATTTGTAGAATTCATTCAAGGAAGAATTTTATCAATGTTGCACCCATTTCTTAGACGACCTAGGCTGCATCTTTTTTTAGTTCCTGTTGTATGACATATTTTCCATTTTGTTCCACTGCATAAAGAAAAAAAATCGTTTGAGATCACCAAACAGCTTTTCTTTTTCTGGCAGGCCTGCACAACCAAGCGGTCGCTGGCGAGGACGTCGGCCGTCCCTGTGGGTAAGGTCATCTGCTCAGCCTTCGTGGAGATCAGCAAGACGTCACCAAGATGAAGACTTCGCTGGAGCAGAAGCCGCTGACCCGTGTCCGATCGGGCAGGTCATGCTCGACGGCACGAGCCACAACTTGAACGACTCGGTGACATCAACAACATGGTGGGGCAGGTGAATGAGTTTGGCGACGTGTTGTGCGACTGCAAGAAGGGTTGTCTGCGTGTTCTGGCCGGCGGAGCGGCGACGCTGCGCAGTCTGTGCTGGTGGTGAGCAGCTGGCCGTGGTGACCGCGCGCGCCCACATGCGCCGACAACCTGTGCGGCTTCGACGGCCCCGGGACAGCCCGATGCCGCCCACTATGCGACGTCGACCGCGCACTGTCCGCACGGCCACATGGAGGTGTGCCCGCGCCTTTTGCCCGCACGCCGCTACCTCGCAGCTGGTCTGCAACCACGCCGTCGCCGCCTGTAGCCCGATAACAAAACGGCTGTCTGATAATGCCGCGTGTTCTTTGTGATGTTGCTACTGTGATGGTTGCTACTCCTGGTCTGAGACTCGATGTTTCCATTCGTCTTTTACATGTTAAGGATTTGATAATGATAAGCTTAGTCCGAGCTTAGGTCGTTTATATCATTTGTTATATGGCATATTTTGGATCAAAGCAGTACGACACTGCCTCCTGCTTTTGTGATGTATGCTGGCAAGACGCAGGTTCCGGTCGCAGGTCACCCGGTTCCAATGTGGTCGGGCTGGCATGCGATAATGTGATGTTGTTTTGCTCGTCTCTGTGTTCCACACTTGATGATGTTTGTGAATCTAACCCACATTGTATAGTATTTTTGTTTGTTTGCAGCCGATGGCCTTGTAAGTTGTAACCGTGGCAATACAGTTTTTCCTGTATAATTCTCCAATATTCAAGCGTGGGTGGAATTGGATATCTTTCTGTAATCACGTATTCCCTTCTCCCAGTAGTCAGAAAATATCAATACAGTATTCATACGGATTATTCAAGCCCTGTATAATTATTTGAGGTGTGCCGAATCCGAAAGGCGACCGATAAAACTACTAGCGGAAAATGTGACATGATGCCATGGGTTTGTGAAAAGTTTAGGTACCACGTAGCATTCAACTTCCTGCATTTCTGTTTCAACTCAGTTTAACGTATTTCAACGAATATA